AGCGTCGGTGAACCACAGCTAGGGCATCCAGATCGTGAGCAATGGCACAGGGTGAATGGCACGGTTGTGTCCTGGATTCTAAATTCGATTTCTGATGAACTGGTGGATAACTATGATCTAGCTATCAATGCAAAAGAGCTGTGGGATGAGATACAAGAAAGATATGGCATAATCAATGGACTGCAGATATATCACCTGAGAAGGGAGGTAGCCACAATAACACAAGGTAATCTCTCTCTGGCAGCTTATTACTCAAAGTTGAAACGTCTTTGGGATGAGTTAAATTGCTTGGATCCAATGGATGAGTGTACTTGTAATCTGAATAAGAATAATGCAAGGGAAAACATGCATAAACTGATGGAATTTCTAAGTGGATTGAATGATTCGTATGCTGGAGTAAGGGATCAGATTTTAATGATGGATCCATTGCCGATTGTTAAGAAAGCATACTCTATGGCTGTTAACATAGAAAAACAATAGATGGTGAATAAACTATATGTTGAACCTGTGGAGCAAAGTGCTATGATGGTGCAAAGAAAACTGTTAAATATAGGAAATGCAGGGATTGGAAATGCAGGAAATGCAGGGAATACGGCAAGTTATAAGCCTGGGAATTATAAGCCTGCAAGTTATAAGTCCACATCTACTCTGGGGAAGGAGAATACCTTTAGGATGGACAAGGCATTGAAGAGACTGATGAAATGTGATAATTGTGGAGGAACGGGACATCTCAAGGAAGGTTGTTTCAAACTGATTGGATACCCGGATTGGTGGGAAGGGCTCAAAGAAAGGAAGAAAGCAGAAGCTACTGGTCAAAACATGGCAAATTTTGCGGAAACTCCGTTTGATCAGGAAACAGGTTTACAGTTCAATGTTGATAGTATGATGTCGATGATGAAACTTATACAACAGGAGATGTCAAGGATGATGAAAGGGAAGGCTGTGGGAAAGGAAGGAGAACAGGTCAACTTTGCTCACTTTCATGAGTTTGCAGGTATGGCAACATTTCAAGCTTTAAGTGCTCTTAATTTGACTGATAAAGAGTTAGCTTTACTTTGGTTCTTAGATACTGGTGCTACGGGGCACATGGTTGCTTTTCTTAAACTTTTAGCCTTTTATAGATCTGTAACTCAGCTTACACCTGTTACATTGCCTGATGGTAGTGTAAAAGGAATTGAACATATAGGAACGGTAAAACTTTCAGAAACTTTAGAACTGCCTGAGTGCCTCCATGTTCGTTCCTTCAGATGTAACCTTCTGTCAGTCAACAAATTAGCCTCATCATCCAAAATTGATTGTTTTTTTTCCACTTCTTTTTGCCTGCTACAGGACCAAGCGACTAGAAAATTGGTTGCTGTAGGCAAGGTTCTGCACAGGCTATACGTCTTAGATTCAACATCTTTTTCAGACAACACTATCAACCTCTTCATCAAAGATCATGTGAATCATCCTTTCATTCTTCAACTTACCTCCATCACTCCACATCAGTCCAACCTGGCAGCTGAAAATAGTACGTCTAAATGGCATATGAGGCTGGGGCATGTGTCAGATCTAGTACTTAGCAAATTAGGTTTTCTTTCAAAGAATAAGTCTGATCAAGACATATGTAATGTCTGTCCATTGTCAAAACAACATTGATTAGAGTTTCCAAACAGTTGTATACAGACAAAATCTATATTTGAGTTGATTCACGTTGATTTGTGGGGGCCTTATTAAAACCAAAACCTTGAATGGTGCGTACTATTTCCTGACTATAGTAGGGGATTTTAGTCGATGTACCTGGACCTTTCTTATGAATAATAAAACTCAGACTGTTAGTATTCTCAGAAACTTTCTTGCAATGGTTCAAACTCAGTTTCAAGTGTCAGTCAAGACTATAAGGTCTGACAATGGCACAGAATTTACCTCTTTTGACTACCAATCGTTGTTCAGTAACCTTAGAATTATACATCAGAAGACTTGTGTTTACACTCCACAACAAAATGGTGTTGTGGAGAGAAAACACAAGCACTTTTTACAAATTGCTCGATCCCTTCTTTTCCAATCCGGCTTACCAAAAAATTTTTGGGATTCTCACCGCAACCTACCTTATTAACCGACTTCCATCATCTCTTCTAAACTGGAAATCACCACATGAAGTGTTGTTTTCTAAAACCCCAGATCTCAACCACTTAAGGGTGTTCGGATGCCTTTGCTATGCAACCAACACTCATCCACAGAAAGATAAGTTTGATCCTAGGGCTCATAAATGTGTCTTCTTAGGATACCCGGCAGGCCAAAAAGGGTATAAAGTGTACGATTTAGATTGTAAGAGGGTCCTTATTTCTCGGGATGTGGTGTTTCATGAGTCAGTTTTCCCTTACTTAAATTCCTCTTTGTTCGACAAACCTGTTCCAGCTTTCACATCCCCATTCGTGTATGATCAAAATTCGTGGTTCAATCCCTCAGTTTCACCCACTACTAGTCCACCTCTTGAAACTTCATCCCCTGTTACTTCCTCTAGGACTCATCATTCTCTCTTTCCTATTAATCCCGATCCGGAAATTTCTTCTCAGCATCATTCCATTCCTTCTACACATCCAGAACCCTCTAGAAGAAGTACTAGAATTAGCAAACTCCCCAGCTGGTTGCAAGACTTCCATACAGATTATGCCCACTATGCCAATCCTGTTCATCCCACTTCCTTTACTCATCCTGTATCTTCTCCTCATACACCTGATACCTTTCCATACCATATCCCTTCAAATTTTTCTGCAACCCATGTGTCCTTTCTAGCACAAATCAGTACTTTTAAGGAACCAAAATGCTATTCTCAAGCTCGGTTAAATCCAGAGTGGGTTAAGGCAATGAACCTGGAATTGGATGCGTTGGAAACCAATAATACATGGAGTTTGACCGTATTACCACCAGGGAAAACTACCATAGGGAGCAAATGGGTTTATAAGATTAAGCATAACCCAGATGGTTCTATCGACAGATTCAAGGCTTGGTTGGTAGCGAAAGGATATTCTCAAGTTGAGGGTGAGGATTTCTATGATTGTTTTTCTCCCGTGGCTAAAGTGGTCACTGTTAGACTGTTTTTGGCTATCGCTACTGCTTCCGCGTGGCCTATCCATCAGATAGATATAAATAATGCCTTCCTCCATGGTTTTCTGGAGGAGGAAGTCTATATGCAACCACCCGAAGGATGTCACAAGGCTACCCCATGCCAAGTTTGTAAGCTGGCACGATCCCTTTATGGTCTAAAACAGACATCGCGTCAGTGGAATGTTGAATTTACTCAGCAGCTTCAGTTTTTTGGCTTCAAACAGTCTGCCAATGACCCTTGTTTGTTTACCGGTTGTATTGAAGGTCATTTTACTGCTCTTATTGTCTACGTTGATGATGTTTTACTCAGTGGAGCTAATGAAGAGGTCCTCACTAAGGTGAAACAGTTTCTGCATCAGAAGTTTACCATTAAAGATCTGCAATATGCGAAGTATTTTCTTGGCATTGAACTTGCTCGGTCCCCCGACGGATTGTACTTGAATCAACGGAAGTATGTTTTAGATATCCTACAAGACACTGGCATGCTTGGATGCAAAGCTGCTAGTACTCCTCTTCCAAAGAACCACCAATTCTCTGATAATCCCGGTCCTGTTTTGGAAGATGCATACGGCTACAGAAGATTGGTTGGCCAGCTGCTGTATCTCAACTTCACCCGTCCTGACATCACTTTTGCAGTTCAGCAGCTCAGTCAGCACATGCACAAACCCTGTACAGATCATGGCGAAGCTCTTCTACATGTGCTGAGATACTTAAAAGGCACAGTATCTCATGGCTTGTTTTACCCCTCTGCCAACTCTCTGAAACTGGAAGCCTATAGTGATGCGGATTGGGGCTCCAATCCGCTTTACAGGAAGTCCATCTCTGGTTATTGTGTTTTTTTGGGACCAGCTTTGATTTCGTGGAAGGCGAAACAACAAGACACCATCTCCTGCTCCTCGGCTGAGGCTGAATACCGGAGCTTGAGTTTCACTGCCCAGGAAATGTTGTGGATTAGTTATTTGCTGGCAGATTTTGCTGTTCCTGTTTCGTTACCTATTCCTCTCTGGTATGATAACTCATCAGCGATCTATATTACGGAGAATTCCGTTTTCCACGAGCGGACAAAACACTTAGAAATCGATTGTGATTTTGTTCGTCATCATTACAATCGAGGTTTCCTTGTGCCCCTTTACACTCCTTCTAAGGATCAGTTTGCTGACCTTTTTACTAAGTCCTTTCCTTATCCTCAGTTTGCTGGTTTGTTGGCCAAGCTGGGATTGAAGAATTTTCTTCAACCATCAGCTTGAGGGGAGGCTGTAAATGTGTATATACTGTATAGTTGTGTAGGGATGTTCTTGTAAATATATAGAACTAGGGGGATAGTTATGTAAATAATGTTGGGGGTATTTAAAGCCAAGTCATAGCTTGGTTCGTACAGAGTAAATAATACAGTTGATTTTTTCCCCAAATCGGATCAAGAACAGTTTGTTCTTTGGTTCAATTCTCTCTTTCTTTTTCCCGAATTTCAGATTGAAACTTGTAGAAAGACTTCCGGCCAAGTCTCTGTTTCGATTCAAGTCTGTTTGCAAGCTACGGAACTCCACAATTTTGGAGCCCCGATTCCTCCAATTGCACAGCCGGTACTCCCAATTCCGGGACGGCGGCGATACAGATTCAGCATTCTCACTCTCTAAACAGTTTAGTCTGCTTATACACTCGCGAAGTCGATTACGCATTAGTTCTGAACATTACTACCCGAGAGATCACGGATCTTCCCAAATTCGGATCTGGGTTTTTCAAATTAGATTTATGTTTTGATCAAATCACTGGAAAATAAAAAGTATTGCATCTGTATTCATACCCAAGAATAAAAGCTTCAATTTGTACAATTGATGGGTCTAACTCATCCTGGAGAAATCTTATGGATCCTCCTAATCTTCAAAACCTAGACCTAGACTCCTATCTTTTTCCAATTTTTTTCCATGATAATACCATGTATTATTGGCTTCAGACAGGGAACATTATTGTCGCTTTTGATGTCGGTGAAGAAGTCTTCCGAACTCTAAAGTTCACTGAAAGCCCAGCTAGTTGCCAGATGCTGGTTTTAGGAGAACGTTTGGCATGTATTCCAAAGTTAAAAGTATAAAGATGCTCCAGGAGTTCAGCATCAAGAAATTTGGTTTCTGGAAGAATGTAAGGAAAACAATCAAGTTATGGTAACAGAGAAGATTTCTTTCCCAATCACGCCCTCACTGAAACCATGGGGAAGCTGATTTTACTGGATACTTGGCATTCAAGAATATTTTGGTTAGATTTAAGGGAAAAGAGAATCACTAAGAGAATGTATAAATGGTGGTCGTCCAAAACTAGGCCGGGTTTTGGCTCTCATCTTTATCATCATGTCGAAAGCATAAATCCGTTCCAGGATGTTCAAAATCACCATAGCAGCTTCCTGTCCATCTCAACAAGCTGTGACCCTGATGATTAAAATGTGATTTTAGCAAGAATTCATTGCTCTTTTAGTTCGTTTGTTTTTTAATCTTGTTTTTCTACTTTTAATCAGTCTTTCTTGTTGACAAATCGTTCGTTTTTCTTGTTTTTAATCAGTCTTTCATTGATGGATCTTGTTTTCTACTGGGGATTAAATTTTTTTTATTTTTTTTTGTGTATTATTATTATGATTCCGTCCATCTCTGAAACATGATTTTTTCACCTTCGTGTTGTTTAGTTTCCTGGTAGCAACTCCTTCACATCTTTCTCTAAATCTAAAAGTTTGACAAATTACTCAATTGCAATCTTTTTGCTATTTAGATAGTGGAAGCTCTTGTACATTTTCTTGAGGAAAACCAGACATTGAAATCAAACGAAAATAACTGTCAAACAACAAGTAACAGCCCCTCTAATCAATCCAAAAAACTAATCAAGGAATGAACCTATAAGTTCTCATCTTGTCAATGCAAGAACTGAATGACTTCATAGTGTTCCTGAATCCTAAGAATCCAAGCTCCCTGTTTTTGGTCGTAGAACTCACCAAATCAACTGCAGAGAATGCAATATCTGCAAACCAGAAAGCTGCAATTTCCTTCAACTTAGTTGGAACCAAATTGTGCTTCTTCACAATCTCGTACCAGACCGAATCCTTATCTTTCATCAACTCCGCCATGCTCTCTTGCTCTTTTCCTTCAATGTACCCAATCATTTCCAACCCGAATTCCTCTGCCAACGCTTTCCAGATGTGTTTCCACTTAAAAACATCTCCATTGGTACAATTCAGCACCTGATTTTTGGCCTTCGGATCCACTGTTGCCCAAATATGATGCTCAGCGATCAAATCTGCATCCACACAATCAACATAGCAATTCCAGGACCCTTTACTGCCTGGATAAACCAATGGCTTATTCTCATGCTTGCATATCACAGCATAAACACTAAGTGTGCTAACAATGTTCATCATGCTACAGGGCGAAAACCCGAAAACTAAAGCAGGTCTATGCACAGACCATGTCAAACCATGTTTAGAAGTTTCTTCATACAGAATGTCCTCCAGGTCATGGTAAAAGTTCTGTACAGGCAATCTCGGAACATCTTCGACAAAGGGCGATTCGTGGGGCTTAATCTGGCTCCCTTCTTCAAATATCCCAAAGTAGTGTTTGCTCCCTGTCTGCAGGCTAATGTGCTGCAGATTAGGAGAATTCGGGATGACAGAATCAAGAATATTCTTAAACATGACGGCGTTTAGTTCGCAATCCTCAGAGCCGATCCAGGACACGTAGAAAACATGAGTAATGTCGGTGAGAAGAGAGAGCTTGGAAATGGTTTCTTGGGTATTTGAGACATCTAACTGGATGTACTGCAGAGGGGTTTTGGCGAACCAGGACGGCCGAGGGCGGCGTGCCACGCCGTAGACTTTCCAGGGACCGTTTGGTGTATCGGGAAGTGTAAGAACTTGAGCTAAGCTGCTACCAACAATGCCTGTAACTCCAACAATCAGAGCAACACTCTTGTAATTCTGATCGGCGGCTTCAGCTACTACTCCATTCTCTTCTGATATTTTGGCTAAATTCTGAAACATTAGAGAATGTGAGAAAGCAGTTAGTCAAAAACCTTACTAAAACAATCAGTTGAAATAATCATTTTTTGAATTAAGGATTCTGAATTTCATCATCACTTTAACGGCGTACATCATTTCTTAATATTGTACTATATGATGTACTAAGTGATAGTACAGAAGTAGTTCTACGTGCCTGTCCATGATCACCAACAGATCTCTTCCACCACCAACTCATGGTAGTTGATTCTGGAAATGGGAACTAAACCAAAATAACAAATGGAAACTGAAGTAGGGATATATTGATGGGAATGGAGAATTTCAGTATGTGTTGGTATTCTACTTTCTTGGTGTTATCCCTAATACAATGTCACAAGTAACTCTTATATAGAGTACTGATGGAATAGGCGATCAGTGAGTTGCTATACTATTTTGCACCCTCTTCACCCTAGAAAAATAATTCGTTTAATTATATATTAAGTGTTATAAAAATACTGTATAATTTAGAGTATCAACATTTCTAAAGTTAATAATGATGTTCATTCATCGATTAATCATCTTATCTTCTTTTTTCTTTTTTCGTAACCAGAATCGCATTCTCCATCGTCAAGAAAAGAAAAAGGAAAATCAAAACAACTCCTCCTAAATATTCAACGCGTGAATCGCATGGGAAATTAATATATTATTACCACAATTGGTCGGGACTTTGGAGCTAAGCAAACAAGTCCATCTTTTGGTGCCTTGTTGTCACTAACCGAATTGTGAGTAAACAAATAAATAATAAAAGCAAAACTGTAGGGCGCAGATCAAATTAAACAAAAAGGTGGTACTTCTGATACTCTCATTATTGATAATAAGAGTACCTCGAGGATCGCATGGGTGGAACGGTAGAAGTAAAAAAATAGTTCCAAAGAATCATACAGTTGCGTAGAAAGGAAATAATTCAGTCATCACGCACTCTGTTTGGATGATAGAGTAATATATTCTTTTCTACCTTCAAAAAATAATTCACATTAATTACAATTTATAAAATTATAATGGATTAATTTTTTTATTTTATTAGAGTTTTTTTTTTGCTCGAAAAGGATAATATTTTTTCAATATATATACTTCTTCCATTTCGAAGTGATTATCTAAGTAAAATTTTCATTTTTAATAAAATTTATATTAAAAATAAAAATGCAATCTAAACCATCAATTTGAGACGGGAAAAAAAGGTATAAACATAAACAATTATATGGTATATGTCATGATATTGTGGCATAAGCACCTCTAACAGTCTCATGACTAATCTAAAAGGACGTAGTAAAGGAGACCCAACTGAAAATGATTGGAAGGATTTATTTATTTATTTATTTATCTTCTCTTTTGTTCATCTCTTGTTGCTTGTCATCTGCTTGGGTTGATTGTCTGTACATCTATACATTTTTTGATGTCTGTATATTCAGAAATGAATAATGGATTGTGTGATTTGAACTTGTATATTTCAACTCTTAGCTAAAACCTTCACTCTGGACCCTTAGCAGTGCTACGCCTTCTTTTTCGGTTACGGCGGAGACTGGTGGTTCTTCAGCAGGCCGTCAAATGTTGTTACTGGTACGCCGGCGGCTTAGATGTGTATTATATTAGTATTATTTAAGGTCACGGCGGCTTTTATTTGGAGGATGAAAAGATGGAGACTTGGATTTGGGTATATCTGGCAGGGTATATACGAAAATTTTAGCCAAAATATTGTTAAATTTGACCAAAAATAAATTTTTCCATCTTGATTAAACTGGATAATAATTATGGGACGGAGGGAGTATTATTTTGGTCCAATATATACACTCATTTCTTAGTCTATCAAAATGGATTCATGAACAGATTAAAACTCGATTGAACAGAAAATTAGCACCAAACTAACTCGAGAATATCATTAGTGCAAAACTAAATTAGATGCAAACCAACAATGCCATAAGTCTCCTCAAAAAGAAGGACAAATAAAACTCCTTGAACTTATTACATAGAATAATTTTTATAGAAAGAACACCTTGAACTTATTACATAGAATAATTTTTATAGAAAGAACAGGAGGATCAAGGAACAATCTTGTGGTCTTTCATCTTGTGAATGATGGAGATAAGAGACTTGGTAGTGTTCCTGAATCCCAAGAACCCATGTTCTTTGCTCTTGTTCATGCTGTCCAACATACATTCCCCGCTGAATATCACATCTGCAAACCAAAACGTAGCAACTTCCTCCAATTTAGTCGGTGCAAGTTGATTCTTCTTCACAATCTCATCCCAGATCGGCCCTTTATCCTTCATCCTTTCAGACAAGCTCACGAATTCCTCGTTTTCGTCGAACTCCGCATACTCCACCTCGAATTGCTCTGCCAGGACTTTCCACAAATGCTTCCATTTGAACAAATCTCCATTGCTGCAATTAAATGCTTCGTTTTTCGCAAAAGGGTCGACCGCGGCCCAGATTTGGTGCTCGGCGATCAAATCAGCGTCCGACGCGACGGAGTAACAATTCCAGGCGGCTTTAGTCCCTGGATATTTCAGGGGAACATTTTCATGCTTGCAAATTGCTGCATAAACACAGAGACTTCCGATCAAATTCATCATGCTGTACGGTGAAAACCCGAAAATCACAGCTGCCCGGTGGACAGACCAAGTCAATCCAGGCTTTTTGTCACTGATTTCAAACAGCATATCCTCCAGGGTGTAGTAAAAATTAGGGGCATTCAGCCTGGGGACATCTTCGATGAACGGAGTTTCATGGGGCTGGATTTTTCCGAACGTTTCGAACGGTCCGATGTAGTGTTTATGCCCTGTCTGAAGACAAATGTGGTTAAGATTCGGGGCATTCGGGACAATTGCATCGAGAACGTTCTGGAACATTGCGCCGTTGACTTCGATACACTCTGTTTCGGACGGCCGATTAGCCCAGGTGACCCAGAAAATGTGAGTGACATCAGTTAACAGAGAGAGCTTGGCCTGAGTTTCTTTAGCATTATAAACGTCGCACTGAATGTAATTCACCGGATGATCGAGGTTCCACGACGGCCGTGGACGGCGGGCGACGCCGTAGACTTTCCAGGGACCGCCAGGGGTGTCGGAGAGTGGGAGGATTTCGGCTAAGCTGTTACCCACTATTCCGGTGACGCCGATGATCAGGGCCACGCTCTGGACGTTCTTCGGAGGTTGCGAATCGTCTTCGTTGGCGAAGTTTTTCTGCAGATTACGAAAAAATTCACGAATTTGTCAGTGATTAATTAGCCAAGAACATCTGGTTACTGATAAACTGTATAAATTTATAATGTGAATTCAAATTCATGAATAAAATTGGACTTGCCCTTGCAGCTCCGATGGCGCCGGACCACCACCAACTCATTTTTCAGAGAGGAATTGTAGAGGAAATTAATGATGGATCCGATAGATCAGATGCGAAAGAAAACAGGGTCCGGATCATAAGCTTCTAACATAACATGGAAAATGGTAGCTATTTCTGTTAATTTAAAGGCACGCGGGGAGGATTTCGTGTAAGGCCAAATACTATGTATGCGATAGCCAAATAATATCAAACTCCTAAATATACCTTGCAAAGTATATGCAAGCATTACGTGTATCACAAACTTGTCAAAAAAAAGTGATTATTTTAGTTTGGATTTTTAGTCCCCACACTCACATTTAATCACTCAATTTTATCCCTTTTTTTTGGCATTTAATTCCCCTAATTTTATTTTCTTTTTTTGGCATTTAACCCCCTGATTTTATTCTCTTTTTTTTCACACGTTTAATTTTAAACCTTTTTTTTTTTTGCTTATCATGTCAGATTTTATATTATTTTATTTCTGATATAATTTTTTTTATAACGATGAATTTTATTTTAATAAAATTTACTATGGTTAATCATTTGAGACTTATGAGTATGGAGAATTAATGTGTATTTTCTCAGTAATGAATAACCAATATTTAGACAATGACTAATGTTATGCAATTATTGAAAGATGAATGATGTAGAATTTATTTGTTTTATTGGTGAATATACATGCGTAAGATAATGCGTAATATATGGTTATTGATGAACATGAATTTCATTGTTGTTTTTCGACAGATGGTGTATCATCTTGTTAAGATTTGACGATGAGTATCTTATTTTAAGTAATGAATAACCAGTTGTTATTGATGAATAACAGATGATGTGCTTATTGGACGATGTTTCAACTCTGAGGAAGAGGTTTTTGCTGCTTATAATATCAACGTTATGAACGTGATGAATAATGATGTTCTTAAGTGACAACGTTATGGACGAATAAATTTAAATTTTGTAATGAATCACGACATTCACAAAGATGAATAACAATTTAAACCTGATGAATAATGATATCATCCTGAATGAATAACAATATTACAATGAAGAATAGTTGTAGTTTTACAAGATGAATAATTGTACTTTAATGAATGGATAATATACGTTACTGGATGAATAACTTTGATAACAAAAGTATATATTACAATGGGTTAATATTAGCAACTAAACTAACAAACTTCTAATTATGTATTATACTAGACAAAAAAATAAACAAAAAAACTAGTCATTGTTTTTAATATATAAGGTCTTGAAGGATTTGCCGATGTTTGATACACGTTTATGTTGATTGTTTGATTTCAGCAACTCTGACAAAATATTTAATTCCCGACCGATCGACTTCATCTTGATGAGCATTTCTTTGCTACTGATCAAACAAAAAGAACATTATAATAAGTGAGATTTCACATTCAATCAAAACTCTGTTAATCATCAATAACAATACTATTGAAGATGAATAATCATTATTGGACGATTTTTTAATTGTGTTTATTAATATCAACATATCATATGTATCAAAAAATTAATGAACAACTTTTTTGGGAATGAATGAATAACTGTACATAGATGATGAATACACATTTTGACAATGACAGGATACCATGTACTTTTTTCGGATTATGAAACTGGAAAATTAATAATCATTGCCGATCTAATGAATATCATCCCTTCACGGATGAATAGTACAACAACACAATATAATGAATACCAAATACCAATCTGATGAAGAAAATTAACGGATGCATGATACATAGATACGGTAAACGATAAATCTGATAATTTCAATCATGAATAGTTATACAAAACTGATGAATAATTATACATATCTAATGCATAGTACATTGCTGGTTTTATGTTCTGTTCATTGGTGACCCAATGAATAACATCTATTTGCGGATGAATACCCAAAAAAAAAAAAACAATCTGATGAATACCAAATACCAAACTGATGAAGAAAATTAATGGATGGATAATACATTTATAGTCAATGATGAATCTGACAATGTCAACAATGAATAACCATACCAAACTGATGAATAATATCCAGATCTACTAATTTACCCAAAGAAACAACCTCTAATCGACGAACAAATCTCTAAAATTGATGAACAAGCATCGTCAATCGAGTGAACATAACTCAGCTCTACACAACACACACAAAAAAAAACACACCAATTGTTGTAGAAAATAGTTGTATTACCTCGCTTCCCCTTCATCATCCGATTTACTAATACTCGATTCAGAATCATCAGTCGTAGGCCTCTGAATGTATATTTTAAAGAAGAAACAACATTCATCAAACTTTATACATTGGATTAACATAGAAAAATCGATATATTTGACCAGAATTTACCCGAATCCTCATCTTCAGTATAAAAACTTGAAACCAAGATTCATCGATTTTGATGAACGTTCTGATCCAGTCTTCGGAAGTTCCACCGATGGTAGCTTCTCATTGCCGGTTGTGATTTTTTGTGTTTTTGGGATTTTTTGGATTGAGATGTAATGGATTGAAATAAATAAGAAGTTGGTTTTGAGTAATGGCCGGAAAATAGGAGAAGATGGTGGTTATCCGGGTTTAGGGTCGCGCATATCAGGGGATTTAATTGGCGTGTGTAACTCCTATCAATGGCATAGGATGTAAATAAGTGTAATTCCCCTCTTTATGGGAGCGTGTTGTTCACACTAGGTACACCTTGTTAGGTATACTTAGGAGCTCTATATTATAATTGCGATATATACTATTAATATAGTTCAATAAAAAATTATTTTCTCATTTTAGAATGATCATAGTAATACTCTCTCAGTCCCAAAATTATTGTCCAGTTTATATTTATACTTTTAATACTAAAAGCGAAAATTCAAACCGGACATTACTAAAAGTGAAAATCAAAACTGGACAATAATTTTGGAATGAAGGAGGTAATTAATTTATTTTCGAATTTTGGAAAAAATATATTTATAAAAAGAAAATGTTGGTAATACTGTTGCTGTATGAAAATCTTGGACAACTACATAAAATTGATTCGATTTTCTGTTCCAAATTTTTATTTTTGAAATGGAAAGTTAGGACAACCGCTGGTTGATAATTGACTAGGCCTTTTTCCCTATTCGGTCGTGGACATCATGATGTGCAATAAGATGGGTTCTTGTGGCATTGTCCATATATTATGTCCCCTTCTATTTAGACGTCGTTATCGAATTGAACAAGCAAATAATGTTATTGTCCAAAAAATATAATTCATATTGAATTTTAATATCTGTGTTAAAAATAGTATAAATTTCAAAATTTAATGTGTAATTTTTTTTGTAGTAGTAGTCTCTTTTTGGCCAACAAAGAAGAAGAAAAGAAATATCATGCAATATTGAATAATACTGTTTAGCATTTGCATAGAAAAAGACGGAATTTCTGTATGCTATTATTTACCTTTATGTTTTGGCTTCTTCCTCTTCTTTTTCTTTTTAATCAATGAAATAAACTACTCTAGTGGTGCTAACCCAAATTCGAACTTGAATCAGACCCCCAACAAACAAAAACAAAAAAAAAAATGGAAAAAGAAAAAAAAAACCGCATTGAACGCCATAAAAAACGCGGTGCTTCGGCCAAAAAAAATTTTAAAAAAAGATGTGAACAAAAATAATTTTTCTCTATTTTAGGTGGACAAAATTAGTTGTACCGAATTTGCTGAATCCGAATTTATCCATTTTGTACTAAATTCGGATGTGGCAAATCTGAATCTACCCAATAGAAATCATACATCAGATAGTTAAATTATATGGAGATTCGGATTTGTCAAATTCGAATCTATTATAAAATGGATATCTTCGGATTTAATAAATCTGACATAACTAGATTTGTCCACACTACTTCGGGACATATATTTTTGTCCATGTCCTTCTATTAAAAATTATTTGGGTAAAAAACTCAAAAAGACGCTAGGTGGAAGGGACAAGGCAATTCACAATGGAGACTTCCTTCCTCGTGCCTCATGCGCTTATGAGAGTTGTGGCAACTTGCATTTTGGCGGATAAGGCTTTCCATTTAAAATTCGATGGCCTACGCACGCATTTCGTGTGCACACTTGTTCAATCTTTGGGGTTACCTTCAAAACTTAAAGGTGTGCATGCACCAAGTGTTCCATTTTTCTAAATGAAGAATTTATTATTATTATTATTATTATTATTATTATTATTATTATTAGTAGTAGTAGTAGTAGTTTACTACTGCAGGGTTAATCGCGAATACGAGCAGATAAAGAAACCCTTAATTAGGAATTCAGGACGTACTTGTTTCGTGAATGGATTGTGAAAGCATTTTGCCTGCATAGTTTGTGTAAAATTGGAATGTGATGTATTCTTCTGTCCAAATAATAATAATAATAATAATAATAATAATAATAATAATAAAATTAGTACACGTTATATTTTTTAATACAACGTATACTATTTTCTTAAGACAGATGGAGTAAAAAAAAAAATCTCTTTTGTCATTTAAACCTAGGTAAATGTCAAGAATTGCTGCATATTCACTTTGAAACTAAAAACCATTATTTTGCTTATACAAGCTAGTCATAAATGCATTAGGGAAAGCTAATACATATTGTATGCTAATACATATTGTATCACGTTGGGCGTTGGCAATCATATTCCCGCAATCTGTAGTGACATAATTAGGGGCGTTGGCAATCATATTCCCGCAATCTGTAGTGACATAATTAGGGGCGTTGGCAATCATATTTCCTTATCCATGTTTCATTCACGTCTTAAGAAAAATCAGAAATGATAAATTTTAATTTTTCTCTCCACTGTACAATAAAAAGAATTTATTTCTCTACTACAAAAGAGTAGTACATATTATCGGGGAAAAAAAAAAGAGTAGTACACAATATGTTGGAGCATCAAATCGAAATATACTCAAGGTCAAATTATTTATTTGTGCCCTATGTGGATATCCACAAATTGGAAGTCAATTGAACGTGGGATGTTCGTACCTACGTCGACTTTTTATCATCGATCGTCTTTCTTCCTATTAATGTAGTTCTATAATTAAGTTGTAAGGCATGTGCTTCTTTTATTGTATTGAGAGCAAAAAAAATTCTCTTTTCGAGCATTACCAAACTTTTCTTCTGTTTGTTCCCTTCTTAAAACCTATTTTATGTATCAAATTGAATAAATAACAAACCTAATTAGCTGGTAAAACTTAAATCTTCGGGTTGGTCCCGGCCGGCCACTAGTGATAATTTAATTTGTATGGGGAGAGAAAAGGTAGTTTATAGTGGATGCGTGCCGAATCAGCCGCTTGATCATAGTAGATTTACAAATGAATAGAAGTACTACATCCAATTAGGTTATTGCATTTCCTCCATTTGTGGGAGTTTAAAATAGCCTTCAAAGTCCTGTTCAAGTTCTTTATGAATTAGGAAATCATCCAAAAGTTCAATTTGGCATCCGTGATGTTTCTTATCATTTGATCTGACTCACAAAAGTCAACCTCAGAAAAGCATAGGACAAAAAGATTATTAGATTTCAGGGTTTTGCTAAACATGTCATAGAATAGCCACCGAGAAATTCACATTTGATTTGACGCGAATTTATGAAATCATTATGTCTACTTTATTCAAATGTTCACATATATACACATATGGTATGGTAATGTTGAGATGTATTATTTTTTCTAACCCTTTAGCAGGTGTTAGTGATGATATATTCATTTATAGCTTGATGTTACGGCAAAACCCTAAAGAAAATATCTATCTTGGATCAGTGACACTAACAACTGCATACAATTTTTGCCACTTTTTTTTTTTTGGTTGGTAAACTATTCCTGATTAGTTAAGGAAGTTCAATCTTTGGTGTATAACAGAAAAGTGAACTAATTTACAACAATTAAAGAAACATATTGTTGAGTGAAAAAACAAGTTATGGGTTTTGGACTATATTAAGGAGAGTGGTCCTCGCTTGCCAACTTGATGATTAATATTACTGATCCTCAGTATGCGTTAATGAAATTGTCAAGTACAATCAAAAAAACAAATGACCATTTGAATAATCATGCGCTTAAAGTTGCTCATGAGTAAACCAGCTAAGTAAATTTCATATAATAAGACTACACAGTCACTTTTCTGTAAGTTAAGTTGCATCTATGGCTTTTTCTTCTGCATCTTTCTGGCCTTAGGGTAAACAAAATTATAGTGGAAGTGTTTATGTTAATGATCATGGCTGTAATTGTTTAATACTGAAACCATATCTTACTTTCTTTGCTGCCTTCAGCTCCTTCTGCATTTCTCTTCTCTTTCCAGTTAAGCAAAGGTTCTTCTGAAATAGTTGGCAGACCTGGATGTATGAAAGAAAAGTTACCATATGAAAAACCATTATATAGATGAAGATTTATATAAATGATTGGTTAGCTGAAAAATGAAAATTTCTATGATTTACCTGCTGTCATGCAACCCTTATTTCTGGGGCTGATTTTCAAGTTTGGAAGTTTCTCCAGGTAGATTCTATCAACATCAAATAGTGACATTGATGTAGTATCAGCATATTTACTAATCATCTTTGACTGAGCAGCTTTGAATAGCCATGTTGAGTCCATCTGCTTGCTGATCATCCTTACTGCTTCATGTGGTACTTTCAATTGTTTTTTGTCCTTTGATCTGATCCCACCATTGATGAACATAATACAATCCATCAAGCTCTCTCTTGCTAATCCCTTCATGTCATATGCCTGTGATCTTCTCCAGAGACTCTTCAAGTGTGAGTTTGGAGGATTGGAAAGGCAAAGAGCTCGTGTCGTGTCGCTAATGGCTGCATCAGGTTCCCTTTGAAGTAGATAGCCTTGAGCTCTATTACTGTAAAGCACAATTCTTTCTTTTTTCAGTCTCAAAGGGCACAACTCTATAGCTTCTGTGTATTTATTTATGGCTTCTTGAATCCTTCCTATACTAAAGCAATGGTTTCCTTGCTGTTTGATGAGAGCCACCAAAACCCTTTGCTCATCCTTTTTCTCATCAGGTATAGCTTTCTCATTCCTCCTCTTTATGATAATGTTTCTTAATTCTTCTAATGCTCTTTGAACTTCAGGGCTCATGATGGCTTTGGAGTTCCGCAGTTTCAAATCACAAAGTGTTCTTTTAATAATCTCACCAACATTTGCTCTTCCTCCAAGATTCTTAACTTCAATCAAGTCAATAAGGCAGGAAATGGAAGCTTCCATTACTTTGTACTCGGTATCTGGATCTTTGAGAAGTAGAAGGAGACAATCAATGCCCATATACTGCCAATCATCCGAAGATCTCGAGAGGTTACATAAATTTTCTATTACATTTTCAGTTTCAGCTATGCATCTTCTTCCAACTTTACTGTGACACAGAAGCCTAATTAGTCCAATGCCAGAAGGAGATGTGCCATTAGCGATTTGACCCCACATCTCACACAATTCTTGCAGAAATGATGGCTTGCAGATAAGATCTAAGGACATTCCTTTGATGGCAAAGCAATTTAGAAGATTCAGACACCAACATTGGAGTTGACTAGCCCATTCCTCAGCTTTCCTGTTCTCTGTCTCCATGTCTCCAAGTCCAGCGCCTCTCGTCAGCAAATCGCAGTGATACTTCAACCTCTTGTTTTTATCTTTTACTCCAACAAACATATTATAAACAACTTCCACACATGTAGAAGCTAAATGCATGGCCACTTTAACCACCTCTTCTTCATATGTTGAAACAGCTTCAAAAGTCCTTTCATAACTTGCCAAATGTCCTAAAGCTCTGACTGCAACCCTTTGTTCTACCCAACTCATGTTTCCTCTAAGAAGATCTAATAATGGAGGTATTGTACCGGCTTCAACAGCTTTGACTGCTAAATCCACATTATTCATGGTATAGGAGCCGACAATGTGGGCTGCATAGTATGGAATGTAAATGTTCTGATTCCTATGAAGCCAGTCTCTATCCTTGATGCCTTTATCAATCAAACTGGCCATGCATTCAAAAAGACCTAAAGAGGGAAGCTCACCTTCTTCCGATTCAGTCATGGCAATGCGCCATAGGCCACTCAGCACCAGGATAAGCTCTTGATCGTCTACCAGATGCATGTTCCTGAAGTAGTTTTTTATCTCATTTCTCCTAACTAGTGAATCAGGTTCCTCCAGGTTGCAGAAGAAGCAGGAAATGTCTGTTCCTGTTAGTTCTTTTGGCATGTTTGAATGCACTTTTTGGAGTCTTCCTAAACTTCCTTGGATTTTTTAAAGGAAATTTAAGGTTTTTTGTTATAGAATATGAGCACTAGATGAAAAGTTAGGGACAGATAGAGCTTTTTAGTGATCAATGAGTAGAAGTTCAATCAGATGACCTAATGTATAATGAAACTATGTACTATAAGTTTCACTTTTGCATGCGTTTTCTATTTCTGTAATAGTCCTTTTTGAGCAATATTTCTGTAGCCGTTTGCTCCAATATTGGTAATAGAGAAAGCTACCTTAGCTAACTGGAGTGCCATGATTTAGTCAGCAAATGCAAAGTTTTTGACTCTGCATGCATCGCTCGCTGCCTTGCTGGAGGATATTCTGACTAGCTTTTCATACGATTTTTCTACCACTTCACAATAGAAATCTAAGCAAATCTTTTGTCTACTCCAGCCATTTAGACATCAATTTCTGTTTCAGCTTGAGACGGAAGTAGGGTTTTTTAGATATTAACATTTGAACTCAGTAAAACTGATGTAAATCCGCTCATTCAGTTTAGCTAATTGTTCTTCGAGATATAAAGTTTAACCATCCTTTATGTTGATCTTTAAATTTAATGATCCTAATGTTTAGCTACTTGCATCAGGTCTTCAACTCCAAAACTTTCAAAAGCAATGCCCATTAAACAAAGATTAATTATGTACACGCGGACTTCGAAAGTCAGTTAATGGAGGCATAGTGACATTTAAGAAAGGCCTGGAGGGAGGTGAGAACACAAAAGACGTAGAGGACCACAACCTGAAACATGGAAGTTTTTCCTCTTTAGCTCAGTAAGTGTAGTTGTGGTCCTTTGAACAAGTAGTTCTTGCTAAAACTCAAAAAAGGGGAAGAAAAAAAAAATGCGGCTGCAATACAGTTTAGCTGCAGGCAAAACCCTGAAAAGCCGATTCTCGCAGGCTAGTTTTCATCATATTTTATAGTTTTGAACTGTACAAAAGAATCTTGCTTGTCTCCTGCTGTCCTGCATATGTACCTTTTAACATTATATTAAAGCTGATGATCTCTTAAGTTGAGTTCTTTGACTAACATCTGTTCTGCTAGGTTTCCATTTTAAGCTTTGTTTAATGATATTAGTACATTCCGCATGAAACATCTATCTATTAGCCCATCATGAGGGACGCCCCTGATCAATGACCTAGTCAAACAAACATTTACAAAGAAAAAAAAAAAAAAAACCGAAAGGAGACAGAACGTCGATTTATTCATAACGTATACGTTATCCTAGTTTAAAACACAGAAACCTCGGTTAATATTTGGAAATCGGTTATTAAACATGTAACCAGTTGTTGTAAGCTAGTCTAGCTTGCTCCTCGTCGACATAGTAACTATACTCATCATATTCCTGGCCTGAACTCGATTCCTCGTATTTGATAGTTTTTATATGGGATGTCATCCTCCTCATCTGATTATCACAATCAAATCCACTGCACTGCTTCAGTTCTAGGAGTTCAAGACTTCTGCAACTCTCCAGTATAAGGTGCAGATTGTTCTGTGGAATATGAGCTCTTCTGAAGCTCAAATACTTGATGTTTGGCAAACTGGCTATGGCCGATGCTTCTTCGCTACCAATCCAACTATAACAGAAAATCAGGCCAATGAATTTCTTGCAGTGAAGCTGAATCTGTGCAAATATTTCATTGAGCATATAGCAGTTGCCAATGCTCAATGCTTGCAAGCTCTTCCATTTGCCAATCAGGTTTTCTATGGCTTGTCCATTTTTATACAAAAACTCAAGTGACAAGCCTAAGAATTTCAAATCCGGGCACCTGATCATCAAGATATGTTTTAACAAACAACCTTCAAAATATTGATTTACTACTAGTAGAAAGAATCAATGAAAGAAACTACAAACTTACTCATCTGATACGTATTCCAATACTTGCCATGAACAAGTGCCAGGAAGAACCAACTCTGTAGCAGACCTGTGACTACGGCTCACGACAAAACGAGCGAATGACAAACTAGGAAAATCATGGCACGACAGAGCATATGAATGCACCAGTTCCAAAGTCATTGGTCTAAGAAAATGTTCGAAACATCTGATTTCGGGGAAAATCAGAATCTGCCAACATTTCGGGTCAAGTGTAGCTTTATGCCATGATTTGCAAACAAATGGAACGCTTAATAAAAGTGTCTCCAATCCTACCCATTTAAACACTTCAGCAAGGCAATCTAGACCCAGATCCTTCCAATTTCGATCATCCATGGGATCATACGTCTTCTTAGGCTATAACCCACCACAGGGACAATGCACTGTTAGATTGATACCATTTTTTTTCCAGCAGAAAGTGCTAATCATTCACGTCTTGTAATGGAAAAAATAGTTTCCTCAATCCAGTGCCGTGGAAACCATTGGACTTACCTGCAGCAATTAAAGAGATAAGCCGAGATTGAAGAAATTAATGAAGAAAGCAACAAATGTACATTGTTTTTCAGTGTGGAGCTTTTCCAACTTCCATGAGGTCTAACATGTGAAATAAATCGCATTGCTTTAATTATGCTCGGAATTCGAAACTGCATGTTAGCCTTTGGACTTCCTCCTCCATTTTGTATATTTCAAGCATTCTTCTTACAACTTAGGCTGACTTATCATTTAGAAAAATTTTCCAGGCCCGTGAAGCTACCAACCCAATTGGGAAAAAGAAAAGAGTATAACAAGGTTGACTATTAAAATGGGACGGGATGAATAGTTTTATAAAAACCATAACAAAACATACTTTGATGCCGAAATAAAATGAAATGAAATTCATCCGGTGATATTTGTGGCTGGTTTGAATAGAAATATTTTTAGGGCCAAATAAGATGGGAAGTGACAAAAGTTCAGTCATATCAAAGAACAAAAGAATATAAATTAGTAATAAGCATGGATCGCGTGCAAATGTTCAATCCAAGTCGTGGGCTGTCTCATACTGGGAAAGCTGCATCGTATCTTATCTCGTTGATCAAGTTCTGTACTATCTAAACAGAAAATGTCTTCTTTGAACCCTTGGTAAACCTTGCAACAGGGTTTTAATCCAATGATACCGTTCAATGTCGATGCAACATTTCGGACAAGAATTGGTTCCATCTATGGATGTTACTTGAATTATTGGTACTGTTAGTAAGATTTATTCAAAAGAACAGAAGTAAAAATTGGAGGCGTAGAGCCAAATCGACCGATGTTATGCTCCCCTGATTCTTTCTTTGCCAGAGACCATTCTTCAGTGGCTTATGGACCAACTAGAGCCTAGAGGGTCATGAAGGTTTACAGATCAGGAACTAGGCCCTCTCATTTCGTTATTTTTTGCTCTATCTTTCGTTTCAAATCATGAAAATTAGCAGGGGAGTTCCATAATTTAAAACATCAGTGATTCCCGCAATAATCATAAGCTTGCATGAGACGTCGAAAATGATTTCACTTTTTGGGCATGAAAGATGATAATCATAGCAAAAAGAACTTTGTGCTTCCATTATGTGTAAAGAAAATTATACTAGGCCAATTCTTTTCTTTTCCCCATTGGCAACACCCAAACATAAATGTTATCATTAATAATTTCTAACTCCAATATCCAGACATCAATAACTGGAAGAGAGTAAACAAACCATGCCATCAACCTGTGACGGTAGATAAAGACCTTGTAATCGATACAGCATTTAAGACTATAATCTTACCAGAATATATATAAATTATCATCCAATGTCGGTCGAGATGACCTTTTCAGAATCCAGAAATGTTGAAGGTTTAAATTACAGACTAAGAGTTGCACTAATCCTGAAAGTCAGTTGGAGAATAACAAACCTCCACTAACAAGGAACTCCATACTGATTACTGGCTATATTCATAAGAGTCTAATTAGTATTTACAATTCAAAGAGAGAACTGTATCCAACTGCAAAATTCTTCCATCGACCAAGTTTCTAGCAACTGAATTTACCTCCTTTAGTCAGTCTACTTATACTAATAAGTAAGCCTACTTGATGAAGCTAAGGAAATACGTACCATATCTTTCTTAAATATCCATCTTGAGAACAACATTGCTAAGATTGCTTTCAGTTGATTTCTGTGTAGTGACCCTAGCTCGATAAGCTGCTGCTGCAGCTGCAGCTGCTGCCACTGTGGTCCTCACCCTCTGACCTTGAGAAAGTTCACATGCATCACTGAGAGAACTCAATCTTAATTCAGCCGGTGGAATAAAACATTCATCAGAGAGACCAGGCACATTGAAAGCTACTTCCTCAATGGTCCAGGCTTCTTCCATTCGGGTTTTGGTGTGACTCATTGCTGTGTCCCCGAATCTGAACAGGGTCACTATGGACCGCCCAGAATGCGCGATCATGATCCCTTCAACTGGCCGATAGTCGTCAAGGAATGAGTTGATAGTGGTCTCCCAGTAGACAGCATCACCTCCATTGCTTTGAATGCGCGTCAAATGGGAGTCCTCTAAGTGTACAAGAAGCCCAGTCTTCTGACTGAAATAGCCAAACAGAACATGCCTTATGATTTCAGCAGGTCCTTCACTCCTTGCTTTCAATGTATGTGGATCGGCACAGAGTTTAAGCACAAAGCAGTCCTCCCCATTTATATTCTTTTCTCCAGTGCATCTTGCATTGGCAAACATGCTGGCCGTGGTCCTTGGATCAAGTCCCTAGAAGTAGAAAACACAGTATATGGCACAAGGATCAAAATCCAGATTAAGGCACACGAAAAGCAAAGCGAATCCTTCGACAGTAACAAATGATTAGTTACCTGGAGCGCTCGGCGTAGTGGTCTAACAGGTCCTTTTGCAGCATGTGCACCTAGCCATGGGGTATGCCTCCACACTAGTTTTCCATTGCATCCAGCATGAACTTTGCTGCCACCAAGGGCAAGTTCCACATACCATCGATCTGGATTCATTTGCCAGAGTACAAATCCACCTGTCTCAGCTGCTTTGGAAGAGTTTCTGTTCTTAATGACCTTTGTAGCAGTCTCAATATCTGATGCTAGCATCCTCACTTTTCCCAGAGCATAAGCATTATGAATAGAATTCTGCAACTTCTGGCCTCCTGATGCTGCGGTATACTGCTGCAATATGTACTGAGCTGATGATGTTTCCTACACAAAAATTCATGAGTGAACACGGGAATGATCAAGAACAAAATTCGACAAACAGCAGGTAGATTTATCTCTGGTTATCTCCAAAATTATTATGCCTTTATTATCCCAGCTGCAGTCAATAAGGCTTTTTTCAAAACAAAAATGCTAAAGGATGAATTCACATATCTGTCAAGTCAGTAAGAAGTTCTACTACTGTCCACAGAAAATTTACCATTCTTCATTCCAACTGCTTAGCCCACAAATTCTTTTTATTAATGGCAAGCAAGATAGAACAAAACTCAACAGCGTGGAGTATATACACAAAGCAGGAAAAAGAAAAACATTAATCACGTTGCTGAAGCAGATAAAATGCTAACAAATCAGAGAAACAACAATAGACTTAAAATGGACAAAATAAAGCCTGATTCTAATTAGTTTAACGTGTGATGGTGCACATATCTGTAATCTTTTCGTAAAAGCCACAAGAACATTGAAATTGACCGTGTACCTTCCGTCCCTTTCTTAATAATTATCTTTGGTATCATCAATCAATTTCAGCTTTTCTAATTCATCACAAAGAAAACGGCATCACAATTCGAAGCTCTCCAACCATGATTCCCAATGACGCAAAAAAACAATATCCCCACAGTGCCCTCCAGATTATCTTTTGTTAATAAAGTAGAACCGACAAAAATGATAAGACTGCCTAGAAAACTGTTTTGGAAAATATGAAAATTTTGGTCCATATAACAAGCATTAAAAAAATCCAATCCCAAACCACAAACAAACAAAGAAAAAACGGGAAATTCAACAAGCCCAGAAAATTTTTTTTTTAACTTTTTGCAATGAAAATTATAGTTTAGTACTATGAATTAGTGAGAGAGGGAAAGAGACTAACAATAGGAGTGTCTTTGATGCTGAGATGCGGCAAAGGGTCATTGTTGCTAACGTGCACCGGCGCAAGGGGCGCACCCAGAACACCGAGCAGCAGACGCAGATCGGACCTCTGGTAATCCGACCCGGATCCTGAAGCAGCAGAAGTCGAGACAGAAGGAGCCCGACAGAGCCAATGTCCCCACTTCTCAGGCCTAACATCACCACCGCCATCCGACCCGTTCGGATCCGGACCCTCCCTGAGAGGAGACAATGTCTCCATCCCGGGCCTCAAACTCCCCGATCTCGAAATAAACATCTCCGGCGGCCTCCCTTTCCTCCTCCGCCTCAAACCGGACCTCGACGGAGATGGGCTTCTTCCCCTGGACCGAGACGGCGACAAGCCTCTCACCACTTCCTCCTTCAGTGCCGAAAAGAACCCCTGTTTCCGCTCCATTCTTTGAGTAATCAAAGCTTGAATTGAAGAGAATCAGAGATTGTAATAGTTGGAGAATAAATGGACAAAATGCGGCTGTATAGAGAGTAGTGAAGAGTCTGTCAGTCAGCACTGAAGAATGCTAGTAGTAGTAATGGCAGAGAAGAGGAAAAGGTAAAATGAGGGGAGAGAGCATTACGTTACAAAGAAGCAAAACATTTTTTTCATTCTTTCAGTGAGTGACTGTGTGTGTTATTTATATTTGCTATGAGCACTCCAGCTTTTGTTGTTGACTTGGGTCAAAATTGCCTTTTGTTGTTTATTGACGTAATTGCCCCCCTCAAAATTTATATTCGATGATTTGGTAATCGGTGGATTTTAGGCCAAATGTTGGTTGTGCCAGAGGATACATTTTGGTGAAAAACGTTTGCCAATAAATGCAAGTTAGAAAACGCGGTGTTATTGTATTCTTCAATTTCATTTCTTTTGGCCAACTCTCTCACCTATTGAAATGCTTATCATGAGCGAGAGGAATTAGTTACTATTACCGATGGTGGACACCCTTCAATATACAAAAAAAAAAAAAAAAAAAACGCAACGTTATTGTATTCTTCAATTTCATTTCCTTTTTTTTACATAATTTATCCTAAACGAAAATATATCACATTCGTATTAATCTATTCTCATTCGATTTCGATACATTTCACTTTCATGTTTCGAAGAACAAACTTCTCACCCATACAAATAATATATATACTATATGTGAATGGCGCTAATGTAGTATGATGTATTGTGCTTTAAAAATCAAATATGTTTCAATTCCTAAATGATGAAAAAACCTACAACCAAATTAATTTTATGAAGGAAATGTCTTGTTGAAACGGCATTCTTGGTAGTTGAGAAAACCTTTTCAATGACGGAAGCCTGTTTGATGAAAATATTATATTTGATAGCATAGTAGACTTATTTAATGATGATCACATATGATAAAGGAATTATACAACTAGCTAGATTAGAGAAAAAAAAAAAATCAAGAATGTAAAAGAAAAGAAGAGTGTTCCAATTTCCAACTAATGTGGATTACGATCAACTTATTTAAGCCAATTGAAATCAACAAGAAACTCAGCTAACTTCTATATAATCAGATTTCACTGTCAAGAGTCTTTGCAGCCAGATTTTAATATTTTTAAAAATAGGACTTGTTAGTTAAGTTGGTTGTTGTGGTGTAGCTTAACCTCCATACGATCGCAGAAGTTGAAAACTGGACTACAATATATATATATATGTATATATGTATTTGGGGTTGAAAACACTTATATTTAACTGAAAGTTATGAAGTTGAATGAAGGTAACGTAAATTCATTTTCTATGTTTCCGAGCTCATCAACAATTAAAAATAAATAAATAAATACAGTAAAATAAAATCAACTAGAAATGTTGTTTTTAAAGCAGTCAATGTTTAAACTGAACCACTAACTCGATAGACGTGCATAAGTGATGCCAAGTTGACAACAATTGCTAGCGATTGTACATTGGCCATAATATTCAACGACAAGTGTTTTTAACTAATGGTAAATCAACGACAAAAAATCAAACAAACGTTTTTTAATACTTATTCTTCTCCCGCATATTATTGTCTAATTTGTATTTTCAATTATAGTTTAATTTAAAATAAAAGTAAAATTTCGAACTGAACAATCATTTTGAAACATAATGAACTGTAAATAAGTCATTTTTAGCTTTAGGTTAAGTTTTAGTAATGTATACATGTAATATTAATTTAAATAAATGATACGTCAGTTGTTACAGAAAAAATCGACCATTATGATGTTACCATTGATATCGATATTTGACTGTTGATCCAAAAAATTTTATGACATGTACTATATTCCACATGAATACAAGAAATATACTAGTCACACATCTCTTGGCTCTTCTTTTTTTTTTTTTTTTCCAACACTTTTATTAGGTATTCTTATAGAATTTTCAATTAATATATCTTCCCTTCTAGGAAACTTTTTTTACATTCTCATTATATATATACTTTTTACATTTCTAATATATATACATAAAATAGAAAAAGCGATGTAAATATTAAATAACCCATATTTTTTAACATATGGTTAATAGCAAAAACATCCTCGAGATTAACTTGATTTTCTAAAATATCTTGATTGTTTGAAAAAATATGAAATACATCTCTCAACGAATAAGTAAATTCTAAAAAAGGTCCGTTAATGACAGAAAATTGATATATGCATATGAAATCAGCCAAAAAATGTCAAGAAGACATTTTCATAAAAATATTTAGACTCTAATATGACCAAATAACTATTTCTAAATCTAAAATTCGCTTTTCACATGTTTCAAAAGCAGTGCTCCTCCCCAAATTACTGAAATATGAAAATACTAGAATCAGCTCATCACTTGAAAGGATTTTATGAGTTTGTAAAAAAACCACGGCTCTTGAGGGTACAACTTTTTTTTTTTTTTTTACTTACATCAAATACATAATCAATATTCAGTCACCGAAAGACTCTTTTGATAATTAGTTACTTGTCAAAGAATATTTTTGATATTTTTTAATATCTCCGTCCCAAAAAAAAGTCCAAATTGAGTTTTCAAATTTGTATTAAACTCAATGTGGGCTATTCTTCTTGGACGGAAGGAGTATGAAATAATAAGGATATTCTAGAAAAATCAAGTTAACCTCAGATAATTTTTTTAAATAGTAAGGGTATTCTAGAAAAATCAAGTTAACCTCGCGGGTGTTTTTTGATATTAACCCATAACTATTTGTTCCAATATTATTAGAACTGGCCATTGGGTAATTTGGAGAGAGAGAGAGGGTAAACGAGTAATTTGACGTATATTTTGACCTGCGGCATTGGTGATGATGATGATGATGAAGCCAATGAATGAAGAGGAAGAGAGAGCAGGAGACAGAGAGACAAAAGCCACAGCCAAAACAGAGGAAACGGGCAAAAAGGCCAACCCACTCACTCATTTTGAGCCATTTAACCCCCCAATTTAGCCACTGGTCTCGAGTCAGAGCTGGGTTGGTTATCTTGCAGCCCCTTTCATTTGTCGTTTTCTACTTTTTTTTTTTTTAATTTTTTCCCGCTATTTGTGTTTTATTAACATTCAGGAAGGAGGCCCTTTTTGGTTTTGTCATTCGGGTGGGTCACAGACTCACAGACCTCATTTTAATTGGTGCGTTAATGGGGCGTATATTGTAAAATACCGATTTGAATTAGTTGGGACGACAATGCTCAAAATGTAAATTTGGAGTACTATATGCAAACCCGAAATGATGATTGAATACGTTTTGAGGGAAGTAATTGCAGCTTCGTGTTGTATTCATCCGTTGGTGGAAGATCGTTTTCATTTCTCTAAAATCAATATGAATAATAGTTTTGCTCGTGAAATTAACATCAAGTACGGTACGTAGTAGTAGTAGTGGTTTTGATTGGATTACGAAAATTATCCGAAAAGGCAAAAATAATGCGACTGCATTCGTGCTGCTTGCAACTTTGTCTTTATTAGCTTCACAAGTAAGGCATACGATACAAGCAATTAAAAGAGAACGATTCCAAATGTTTTTTATCTTTTTCAAAAGGCCTTTAATTTTAATTTTGTTCCATTTCCATGAAACAAAATGTCTCTTGTTCCAATTATGAAACCCAGTTTGCCCTTTCCCTCTTTATTATCGCTTTATTGGTACAAATTTGAAGAAGGAATGCCTACTGCCTAGAGACATCAACTTTATACATACGTTAATTTCATGTGACAATGTTACTAATATGATGTAATCGTTAGTTACAGCACTCGAGTGCAACACAAAAACCAGGTAGCACATTACTCGATCTAAACGTGAAAAAAGATGAGATCTTCTGTCTCAATTTTTGTGTATCAATTATATCTTATTAATGAAATTGCGATATTCTTTTATTCATATGTCCACTTGCAATACTATTTCTAAAGTATATCAACGTTTATCTTCAAAATAATGATACAATAACATGTTCCATTAACAAAACACATTTGGTACGAACTAAAGTAATAGCAAGCAGCTAGCAGTAAGGAGAATCTGAATTTGAGAAGTGAAGATACCTAACACAGAGACAAGTAAAACTTTCTCACACAATCAATGCGCCCATCACGGAGCATGCACTGGTCTTTTTCTTCCCTTTTCGATTTCTATGGCTGTTTCACTTTCACACTATATATGGTCCTCTCTTTGCATATCTCCTTGCTTAGTCCCCTCCTTTCTCTTCATGACAAACCATGTGTGTGAACAAATTCTTGAATCATGTTTTTGACTTTGTTGGCTATGGCCCCAATATGTGCATGATTCTCATAGACTAGCTTATAATAATAGCTTATCAAAGTTAATGATTTCATTGAGAAATAAGCAGCTCAATTCTAAATTTTTTTATCCCTTATGTTCCACAATAATGATCCTATTTCAGTATTTCTTCTAGTCCGAAATAAGTATCATTAGACATCTTTCACACAGTTTTTATATATTTAATTACAGTAAAATAATCACTTAATTATTTTTTTTACCTATCCTATCAAAACAAACATGACCATTAGTATTAGTATTTCATTTACGAGTATAATAATTTCTTTGAAAGTAAAGAATGGTACTCTTTTTGAAAAATTTTGATTTACTTTAAAAAAATTAATTTTAGAATGAATGGAATACAACGTTAACCAATAGCAATCAAATATAGCTTGAAATTTCAAGCGGGGGAGGCGAATTTCAATAAGTGACCCCAACCACGCATGGAACTCATGATTGCCCATGAAACAATTACGCATTTACGAGTTCAAAATTCATAATTGATTAACCAAAAAAAAAAAATCATAATTGAGCACCCAATATTTTCCCACTAATACCTACCTACTTCTTATTCTTTCTTGTTAATCTGTTTAGTGCGTATTTTTTTTCTTCCCCACGAATCAATCATGATGTGGGTTAGAAGAGAAAATATAATGATTGTGCATGGGGCAAT